ACTATTATATATAATATATATATATATATATATTTGTACAGTTGTGTTGCATTAACCTGGCTTAACAGAACAGGCTGGGGTTGGAAGGACAGCCAACAAATCTATCTCACATCCAGGTAAACCCAGTCATGATTTAATCGCGATAGACTTCAATGACTCTGTAGATAAATGGTTGAATTTAATGCGCAAAGGTGAAAACATGCAGAACACATTAACGGTGGCTGTGTGGGTACTCTGGCTTCCTCCCACAGTCTGAAGACATGCAGGTCAATAAGACTATAAATCATTTATGGGTGTGAATGGGAGTGTGGATGGTTGGTTGCGTATGTCAGCTCTGGGATGGGCCGGTGACCTGCTACTTTTCCCTGCCTCGCTCCTCTGTCAGCTGGGATTGGCTCCAGCCACTGGATGGAGGGATGAGAAATACTGCATCATTTTTGGCTTTCGTCTGCGAATTCAATTTCAGTTTATTTCGCTAACAAAGTAGTTTGTTTAGTTATATAAAAGGACGTATGACGGCATTGTATGTGTTGCTCATGTGATTAGTTGACATTTTCTGTGAGTGTCTGTATGTATGACGTACATGATGCATTCAGGCGAAAGCAGATCAGACCGGCAAAGTCATAATGTCTTTCTGCAGACTCAGTGTATTTAGACAGTGAGGCCATGAGCTAATGAGCATGCTCACTCTCTTGCTCTCTCACACACACACACACGCACACACCAAGAGAGCATATTAGAGTGCTGCACCAAAACCCTCCATGTGACCTTAGAGGACAGACATCACTAGGACTGTCACTTTTTTGTCAACTCATCACCTTTAGGAAACGTACCAGCACGCAATTCAGAAACAGAGGAAGAGACACACAACTTCACTTTGCTGCAAGCTTGAGGAAAACATGCAAAATGACTTTCGATCTCTGCCACATTTGAGAATCACACACAGAAAAATTAAATAACTAACTAAGTAACTAAGTTTGTGTGTGTGGACCTTAGACTTACAGAGACAAATCCAAGTTGGCACTAACCCCATGTCTATTCTCCAGAGTTTAAATAAAATATAAAGTGCGATGCCTTAATGGCAACTCTCCAGAGGAGGTGGCATGTGCGTGCATGTGCGTGCGTGGGTGCAAGTCTCTATCTGGGTCACATCACATGAGACACGAGGCATTGAGCAACATCGAGCCTTATTTATTTTAACAATGAAAGATATTGATGCTGGTTCATCCCATTTAAGACACTGGAACCTCATTAACAAAAGAAGAGATAACTTTTACTAACGACACGTGACCGATGTGTGGTGTGAGATGAACATTCACCATAAAAATTCATATAGATATTCATGCCAATGTAATCTGACCTTTTCTCACACCATCAAACTTTTATTTAAATACTCGGTATATCAAAACTCACATGAGGGGAGTGACTGAGCACCTTCCTGCTCGTATGGGGAGAAGCCTTGACCCTGTGGCCTTTCCTCTGGTGCTGTTCCCGGAACAAAATGAATGTTTCTGTTCTTTTTATCACTTGTTATATTATGAAGTGTTATATATACTGTATATATGTTATATGTATCTATACAATAGCAAAAATGTAAGAAATAAACAAAATTTCTAGCTTGGTTCTAAGTGAATCATCATAAGATGCAACACACACTCAAACATCCATACACACTAAACAAAGCTGTATTTCTGCCCTCCCTGTGGAGCTTCACTAAATAGTGCAATTCAGAGGAAAAACACCAACAAACGCTAAGTCAGCAGAACTCTCCTTCCAGCAGGTCCATATTTCACCACCTACTGAGTGTATTCTCCGTAAACACACACACACACACTAAAAAAAGGCCAAGGTAAAGAGTTCATACAGTACGATTTCTTTAATTAAAAGAGGAAGTGACAGCTAGATGTTGCTGGCGGCTATAAATCCACAAGTCTGGCTACTTGTTTCTCTCAGAGGTAGTTTGCAGTGTGTACCGCCAATCTTCTCTGCATCCCCACTGCGTGTGGGGGTGGGTGGGTGAGATATTCTTTCATTAATCACCTCACACACCAAAACAAAATGTGCAAAAGCCAAGTTTCTCAACTCCTGTTTGCAATCCCTTGCATTTCAACTATTTACATCACAGCGGATGGCGTTACACAAGAAAATACGGGCAGAGCATTAAGGCCAATCACACCCACCTAAGTGAAAAATAGTTCTACAGAGCAATTCTGCAGTGGTTTCCAGGACGACTGGGGTCTACTGGTCATTTCTGCAGTGGTTTCTCTTACATACTAAGGGTGCGGTCTAATATCTCATTTTGCTAACTCAGTACAGTCAGAACATATTCAGAAACAGCAGTTTACCATAGAAAACACTGGACCATCCTTAATAAACGTAAAGGAGAATATGCTGTCCCATCATTCACTGTGGCAGCAACATTTAAAGCAACACAGCATCGTAGTTGCAGCTGGACAGATCCAACATTCAACTGTCTGAAGAACTACAGTCGGTGTGTCAACTTAACCTGTGGCATAACTGTGAGTTTGTTTTAAGTCCCTGTTTAATCCAGTGGGTCTTGCTTCAAGCAATTCATCCAAGAGGAATATTGTGTAAAGGGAAATTAAAGCAGCAACACTGAGCCCAGAGGACGTAAAAGAAAACATAAAGTGAATTCAAGGCGGTGTCGTGTTGGCAGGCAGAGAGAAGAAGCTGTAAACATTTTGCAGTTAACACAACAGTTAACAGTTAAGTGAGCATCTCTGTCCCAGTGCATCAGCTTTAAAGCAGAAGGACGATGCTTTGCAACTAACAGAGAAAATAAAATGATTGTTTAGGGATTCAGGGACAAGGAGTGGACACAGCATAATGTCTTTGACCTCATTACACCATCAGAACTGTGTTTTGTTTGCTGAATACTTTCACTTGTCTATGTCTAAAATGTGTGGACCTTTTTACACAGAATAATTAAGTCATAGTACTTTTCATGAGTGGACGCACATCTGCATGTTGTCCATTTCTGACAGGGACTGCACGGCTCCATTCCTCAGTTTATACTGCTTCATCAAACACTCAGAACATATATTTACGTCCCTGGCAGTGGTTTAGGTGTCTAAAGTAAAGTTAATATTTAGACGTCTTGTTGGCAAGTGGAGTTTGCAACTTCTCCCAGTGTCTGCGTGGGATTTCTCCAGGGAACTCCAGCTTCCTCCCACAGTCCAAAGACATGCAGATGGGTGAATGGTTGTTTGTCTCTATATGTCTCAGCCCTGCAAACTATTATTATACAGAATTATTTTTACCTCCTGCTCTAGATCCAAACCAATCCTTTATACCAGTTTAAATAGATTGAAGTAGGGGAAAACCACTTTGTCAAGGGAGGTGAAGGGTTACTCACGCTGGGTAGGACCTCGCTGTGGTGGGGTCTCAGTCCAGAGTATGTCCGAGTGTATGTTAATGGATGATAATGGAGTCCATGCTGTGGGTTAGGGTCTCTACCCGCCGCTGGATGGCGCAACACCTGCTCCTTTCGAGTGGTCCGCTAATTAGCTAGTCGTGTCGGTGGAGACTATAAATATGAAAACTACCGCGTCGCTCCTCGTTCATTTCTCCATCGTTACACTCCACTTCCTGTTTATTAGCCACAGGTGTACGGAAGCAGCACAGGACAAAAAGGCAGAGTGTTCAAAACCGCAGGAAAACTGTAAAGCAAACCGCCCAGTGCATCAGAATCATATCCATAACTACAAGTTTCATGTTAAATAGATATTTAATATTTGGAATTATATCTAATAATTAACTTTTTTTTTTCAATGAGCTGATTAATTATTGAGTTTTAAAATATGTCAAATGTAACAGAGCTCAATGTGACCAACACTCAAAATACCAAACTCATGTCTAAGTAGAATGTAAAAAAAAAAAGTTTGGAAGCTATGGCAAACTTCTGGATGCTCTGTGGACTGATCCATCAAATGAGCAGTCTAACATAGCTTCTTGTAAGTGACACAACAACAGAGAGATGATGGGACCTTATAATTCCAAGTTCAGAGATAACGAAAAGGAAAAACTGTCCTCTCTGTTTATTTAACCCTGGCCTACATCTGACCACAGCTTTTCTTTTGCCTCATGGAGCCTGTTGCCCTCTAAACACTGTGGAGGATACAGAGGCCAACGCTCTGATGCAATGTCAATATCCCAATAGTGTCAACATCATCCACTTCCTGTTACAATGCCAGTGTCAATGTCTGCTCTGCCCTCACCCTGGAGCAGATGGTGGAAGAACTGATGGAAAACAAATCAAACTATTTGGTCAAAGCTTTCAGCAAATAAAAAATCCTTTACTCCATAGAGAGAGAAGAGCTAAAGTGAATTTCCCTCTACATTATTTTGTCCCTGCACCCTGGTGATGAACAGCCTGCAGGGACATGGGACAGAAGGGTGTCCCAGGCCTGATGTTTGACACATCTACACACACATCCATCTGAGGAGGATGGAGAGGTTGTCTGTGCACCAGGATGAGTTTGTGTTTGCAGATGTCTGCAGCCATGAGAAGAAAACAACCCTCAGACGCTTCCTTCTCTTCTGTTGCACACTGCACATCCACGGTGCAAGTCTAAATAAAGTCATGTGCTGTTAAATCATGCAGGTTACTGGAGCCTGAACGGGTCTGCATGCTGCATTAGACTGTATTTTCTGCAGCATCTCCGCCACGCACGCTTTTATTTTTATTTCTTGCACTCACCGCCACTGGTCAGTGTGGGAGCAACCTGTGCTAATAAGTTATCATCCCACCCCTCACTCTGCGCCCCCACCCCACATCATAACTCCCCCTCCCTCCCTCCCTCCCTCCCCTGTAGTGCACTCACTTGCTGCACAATTGCAGAGAGACACCAGCAAGCAGGCGAACAGTGCAGTCTCGGGAGGAAACACACGCACACACTCCAGCGTGCACGCCATGGCTCAGACAAGCAATAAAGTCTTTCTCTGCACCCCCCCACACACGCACGCACACACAAACTCACCAGTTGGGTTCTTGTTTTTCTTGAGGCTCCTGCCACAAAGACACTGCAGCATATGCGATCCTTTGCTGAAAATGTTGTTCCAAATAAACCGCATGGATTTGGCCGAGACGGGGGAGGAGGAGGAGGAGGTGGTGGTGGAGGAAGAGGAGGTGGGGGACGAGAGGCGCTCCGGATGCGGCAGCCTAAGATTCACCCACCGCATGGGGGCTGGTCCGCCCCCCTGTTTGCATGCCAGCAGAGCCGGCCAGCTGTTGGGCTCAGTTCGGCGGTGCTTCGGCCCCCCGATCTGCACCATAGACCAGAAGAAGAGCAGGGAACCCGGCTCGTCGCCCGGTTTCTCGCCCGGTTCCTCCACGAGCCCCGAGACCAGCAGCCGCACGTATTCCGCGTCGACGTCGTCCCCGTGCGGCAGGAAAAGAGCGACCGCTGCGGCGCTTGTCTCCGCGGTCGCCGCCTCCGGCTGCCCCAGCGGCCGGTGCTCCTCAGCGGCGGAGGAGCGGTCACTGCTGCCGCCCGGCCGCCGCGGCGCGAAAACCCCGCGGGTGCTCCTCTTCAAATGGCGTCGTCTGCCGCGCGGCGCGGGGAGAGGAGCGGCGGCGGCGGACAGGCATGCGGCGGCGCTAGCGTGAAGTCGGCGGTACGCGGCGGCTGTCGGCTTCTGCACAAAAAACCATTGCATATTAGTGGGAAGCGCAGGGGGTCGGTGCGTCCGTCCGTCCGGGAGGAGGGGAGGGGGTGCGGATACCGGGTTGTCCGTCAGCAAGTCGGTGTCATCCCCGAATCCACACAGCGGGCAAGTACTGCAGCAGAGGGGGGTCCTCTCCAAAAACACACTCAGACACACTGATGCTCACACACAGATGCAGAGTCCTCCTCCTCCTCCTCTTCCTCCTCCTCCTCCTCCAGCGGTGCTTCTCCGCTTCTCTGTGGTCAGTGGGAGCGCATCAGGCATCTGGAGCGGCAGGTGAATCACTGCAGGGAACCTCTGTCCTCTCCCACTCACTGTTTTCTCTCTTCAAAAGAAAGTCCTCATGAATATTTCATCCACGTTTCGGCCTCCACTTCTCAATAATCCATCAGCTCCAGTGCGCCAATATACTGCTGCTGTCTGTCCGTCTCCTCCTCCTCCTCCTCCTCTTCCTCACCTTGCTGTTGAAAAGAAACTGCTGGACCACACGGCTCAGCTGACCCCCCACCACCACCACCACTCCAGAAACTAATCGGATTATGATGAGAAGAGGAAGAGGGAAGATGGAGGAGATGGAGACCGGGCCTGGCTCGTGGTTCCTCTGTGCGCTCCTCCGGTGTTTTCAGCGTCTTTCTACAGGCGCACTGGAGACGACCGCCGGCCGGTGGCACGAGAGAAGGTGCACTGACTATCTATACCCAACCAGCAACGAAGTCTGAGCACTTCCACACAACACGCGTTCCGCTTGGCACCTTCACAATAAACCACACCGGCGTCAGGATTTAACTTTTGGAGCACATCTCCATTTCAGGCCTGTTTCCTTATGCTACATTTTTACACGGTTTGTGAAAAGACTTTTACTTTCCGGGAGTCTCAGTGGTTAACGAAGGAAAGAAATTGGCTTTTTAAGATGAAACAGTTCGAGTTCTAGATAGGAGCCATTTACTTGCACAAATACTTTCTTAATAGTTGTTCACAGACTGTTTGTGTATGTTACATAATCTAAGATCTTTCACTCAGCACTTGCTGATATTGCTAAGTCAAGAGTGACCCTGGCTTTTGCCATCGGGGCAGCTCTTTACCTGTGCGTAACTCGTGCGTAAAATGTATTTTTTTTATCGGACAGGCCATTGGCAAATGTGCAGACACGTAAGAAGATCCCTGCAAAACAACTCGCACTATATTCTGATCACAGAGGCGCACATCGGCTGCAACTTGAACCTCCCTTCAATCTTTGAATTGAGAGCCTGACTCGCATTACGCACGACCTTTATTCTGAAGGATTGCAGAGCTCCGGTTCGCCTGCGCAACTTGACGCAGCCCCACGGAGAGAGTGTGCTTTTCTTACGTAGACATGTGGTTCCCACACCGTCAGGATCTCGAACCATAACCGGCAACATTGCAGGGAGGTGGGGGTGGGGGGGTTGCGTCACATATGGATACGAGACCTGTTGCATGTCTGTAACACTGCGGTGTGGTGGTGCATGTTTTCCTGCGGGTTGGGATGAAGTGTTTGGTGCATTGGACGAATATACAGTGAAAAGATCACAGGCGTCCATCAAAGCTTCTGTCGACGGGTCTCACGTCACGAGGATGAGGCTGCTGCAGTGGTTTACCTGGAGCTGTCCAGAGTGCTGAACCCACAACAGACACGAACACGCGCGTGGGAAACCTCCTCAGTGCATATCACGCACGCGGGCTCCCTGGACTGGAATAACACTGTTAGAGAAATGAAATGTCAGAGAAGTAAGTTGTTGATAGAAAACAGCTGCAGGAGACACACAGTTCTCTATTTTGAGATTTGTGGCATCTCGAAAACACATGAATCCTCCCATTAGTCTTTAGCTGTTGATGTTCACAGATGAATAAAATCCTGTTTCTGAGCTGAGAGATAAGAGAGAACACAAACAGGAATTTATATTTTCACAGAGAAATGATGGCAAGCCTTAGAAACATATAGTTTTCTAAGATAATGAACATCTTGTATGTACAGTTGAATCAGCTGTGTGGTTACTGAGCAGTGAAAAATAGCTGTGGGTATAATATTTTCCATTGTTACTGGTGTTCTAGTGCAAATATATGATTAGTATTAGTAAAGGTATTAAAAGATTAAAACAATGCAACCTTTAAATGGTCATAGATTACGTGCTCCGTACTTCAAACTTCATGTGTTGGATAATGATCCATCTCGATCCGTCTCCTGCTTCATGTCGTCTTGTGCATCGTGACGTTGGGATCATGAGAGAGGCGCCCACACACAGTCACTACAGCAGGGTGGCAGATTTTTTTCTCTGCTCTGTTAACGACTCGTTTTGTTTGGAGGCGCTCAAGGCCGCAGCATGGGCCTGCTGTCATCATGGTGCACGGTGAGCACACTGTTGGTGTTGAGGTGTGTTTGCTATGCACAAATAGAGCAGCTGGAAAAGGAAGAAGACACGCTCCACCGGTTCAGATTCAGTTCACTGGCTTCCTGTCAAATTTAGAATAACATGTAATATTCTTATGATATGGAACCATCACAGTGTGACCAGGAGCCTTCAGCATAGAGCTCATGTGCTGGAAATGGATCTGAAGGGTGAAAGTAGACATTCATGTACAGAATGGTCACGATGGTCTGAATGTTGTAAATATTGTTATTTTGGTTGAAAAGCAAAGGAATGAGAGGAAACAGAGATGAAGGAGGTTCAGGAGAAACCCCTGTAGCCCTGTAGTAAATCCTGGTGGTGTTAAAAGCTTAATCCTGCTGATGTATTGATCTGTTGGCAGCAGCTCAGAGAGAAAAGCACATCACTGCTCCACAAACCAATGTAGAAAACAATTATCCTGATTATTTCATCTGAGTCATAGACTGTATATAAAGAGATCTGAGCCCATGTGATAAAAAACCTTCATTTACATATGACAGAAGAGCTGGTGCTGTGATGGGTCAGCCAGAGTTCAGTATTATCAGGATGTGAAGTTAATCTTCAAAATTATTTCATGAGCTTTCATATCACTTAAGCACAATGTTTGCAAACTGATGTGATAATCGATTTGATGCTGAGGATTCAATCCTGAAAACTGATCTGACCTCTGAATCAAATACTGAACACGAGCTGGATAATACAGTATCTAATCTATGTGGTAGTACTCCACCTGCAGGCCATGTGAAATAACAATGTTCAGAAATATAAAGAAAAAAACTAAAGAAACGCATAATTGGCTCCATGCTGCAAAAAGGGAAAAGTGTTTCTCATGTTTGATCTTTCACATTTCACAACTGATTGTATATATATATTCACAGAAACATTGGGTTGTGATGAAAAAGGTTTGCATTCATCTGTCATTATGGATTTTGGGGGAAAGGGACAAGGAAACTGTGATGATATATTAAAATGCTTTTCAATGGGTGGAGGAAAATAAACAGTTTGGGATTTTTACTACTTTTATTTTAATGATTTAAATATCCAGTTATGGGTAGGAAATGTTTTTGTGGAGATAACTAACTCCCATCTGAAACAATAACACGTTCATTCTAATTGTGAACATATTTCTTGGTATTAAATCATCTTAAGACTTAAAGGTTTTATTCGAACAGTTAATTGATTCCCATCAAAATAAAAGCTCTGGTTAATTGGCTGTATATTATTTTTAAAAAGCACTTTGCTGCCATCTGGTGTCATTGATCGGTACTGCTTCTGAATTAGATGTCCCTGGCTGACCCGCCTCTTTGTTTACGTCAGATGGCGTTTGCGGAAGTAAACCGGAACTGCCAAGCTAACGATCGTTAGCCGGATTCAAAGCAGAACCTCATTGAAATAAGAGATTGTTGTTGGGTGATATTTTATAAATAACACATTGGTGAACATAATTATTTTATTTTATTTCACTTTATCATTTTGATCCAGCAGTTTTCTAGTTTTGTATCGTAGTGCTAGCTTACAGCAGCTAGCATAGTGCTAGTTAGGCTAGAGATGGATATGTATTTGTGTGGATTTCATTAATGATAAAGATTCTTTTCTACACTGCTTCTTATTTGATTTGTCTTACCCGGCAGGTCCGCGATGTTTTTATTGTGAAGGCGCTGGTCGGAAGTCGTGTTGGTCCGCCTGCAGGCTTCACTGAGTGGGAAGCAGATTAATGGTCGCCGGTCGTGTTGTTCTCCGCTCTGGTTCCGCGGGTTTGACATTCAGGGCTGAATGGAAGCGGGCGAGCTGAGCACCAGACCCGATCCGGGCGAGTCCAGCCCGGGTCAGGACACCAGAGACAGCAGCACCCAGACTGACAGCAGGGTGCAAGGTGAGCCGAGAGGGGAACCGCTCAGACTGTGACAGTGATGGTGGAGATCACGTCACAACCTCTTTATATACAGTCTGTGGTCACAACACAGCTGATGAGAGGAAGTTTCCCACTGTAATGTAATGTAGCTACGTGTGACGTGTTTGCAGGTGTTTATCAGCTCGTCATTATCTGTCTGTGTTTATGCAGAGTGCCCAGGAGCATCCTGGTTATGTCATCATGGTATTTGTTTCCTCTAATCAGGCTAACCTGAGGTCCTGGTTGAGGTTAAGATGTGAGTTGTGGTTATGTTAAGCTTAGATCTGGGATAAGGTTGTGGTGAGGCTGTGCACAATGAATGGAAGTCAATGCAAAGTCCCAGTAAGGATAGCTGTGCAAACCTGTGTGTGGAAGGCTGCTGACAGTTCCATCCTTGTTGACAGAGAGGTGTCAGCTGTGGTTCTTGTACAAATACAGGCTTTTAGTGAAGGTTTGCTCCGAGGGTCTCTCTTTAGTCATCCGTGGTGTAGACAGTGAGGGGATGTGGAAATTTAAGATCTTGGTATCGTTTTTGAGAAAACGAAACTCCAGCTCTGATTCTGAGCAGGTTTGTGCAGTTCCTCCTGCCAACATTTTGGATTTTGGGAGTAAGTCACCTTAATGCACGGTCATATCAGTAAGTCAGGGCTTAGGTTTATTCAGGATAATGTTTTTGGAGCCGTGGCTTGTTCCTCTCTGCAGCTGTGTTGTGTGGAAGAAGCCTCAGGCAGCTCTGATGCAGCCTCTCAACACTTGTCCCTCCCTCACATACTTGACAGTATATTGACAGTGAGTAATTACTGCTTTGCATAAAGACAGTTTGCATTGAGAAGATGTTCTGTTGTGCTCCTCTCCCAGGCCATTGCCCCAGGTTATCGAAGGTCAATCTCTTTACCTTACTGAGTCTGTGGATGGAGCTGCTCCCTCAGGAGCCACATGAAGACGAGGACAGTCAGGTTGGTGATGATCATCTGAGAATAAAACAAATACGTGTAGAATTTGCTCGTCACCATCAACACTTTACCGACACTGGATCGTACCTTTTGAATCTGCTGTGTTCCAGATCCGTGGGATGGGTTTGGTGGTGGTTCAGGACAGCAAGGTGCTCGGACTCCACTGTTCGGGCGCTGAGCTCCACGCGGGACAGGCAGCCATCATCCAGCATGGCGCCCGCTTGGCTGACTGTCAGTTGTACTTCTCCAGGAGACCCTGTGCCACGTGCCTCAAGATGATCATCAACGGTGATACTCTTTTATTGCCATATATCCTGTATTCTAGTGTTTTTTATTATTTATCAGCACTGAGTTGAACTTTGGAACTGAGCTACATTCACTTACAGTATCTAGAAATGAATACTGCTTTTTGCTCCTCTCCAGCTGGAGTCAGTCAGATCTCCTTCTGGCCTGGAGACCCTGAGGTCAGCATGCTTAGCTCCACCTCCACAAACCATTCAGACGGCCCCTCCCACAGTCTGCCGGGCTGCGTCACGGAGGATGCCGCGCTGGACGCCATCGCATCAGAGAAGCTGAAGTCCAACAGCCGTCCGCACATCTGCGTCCTGCTGCAGCCGCTGGCGTCGGGCGTGGCTCAGTTCCTTAATGAGACGTCCAGAGAGTGCGACTTCATGGAGAAAGTGTCTGAGGATGAACCAGAGCTGAACACAGAGGAACTCTTCAACAGGTACCAAACATGTTGATGCAGCATAACAAGAAAATATCAAGGAAAATGCTGCTTCTAACACTTATTTTTTTCTTTTGCATTAAAAAATAAAAAATATAATATAAACGATCTGGAACTAAAATGTTTCACTTTGAACCCACACGTTTTTTTTTCTCCGCTCAAGATAAAGTAGTTTCAAATAATCCAAAAAACAGTTTTATGAAATTATCTCCAGGACTGAATCAAACATGAGTCAAACATGCATTTCCTTTTAAATTAGCTGTGTTGCACATAATTAGGAGACGTGATTCCTGTTTTCCAGAGAACGGACAAGACACCTGAAGGATTTCTCCAGACACTTCCTGGTCGCGACGCCCCGGCAGCACCGGGATGTCTTGAAGCAAATGGGTCTGGAGAACTTCTGCATGGAGCCATACTTCTCCAACCTGAGACACAACATGATGGAGCTGGTGGAGGTTCTGGCTGCAGTGGCTGCTGGGGTGCCGCTGCGACACCACGGATTCCACAGGTCAGAAACATCCAGACAAATGTTACTCAATCTGGAGTGACCGTGTGCCATCCACAGCTTTTATTCTTTGTGATGCAGGGAAGAGTGTTCGACCCCCGAGCAGTCGCTGCCTCCTCATCATGAGGGCGTGTCCCAAGAAGTGGCTCGTCACTGCATCATCCAAGCCAGATTGTTGGCCTATAGAACAGGTATGGTTGGATGTTTTTCTTTGAGATAGCAGATGGATGCTTCCTGAATTACATGCCTAAAAGCTTAATGCTGCACTCGTCCTGTGTTTTCAAAAACGGTAATTGTCATTCCAGAAGATCCTAAAGTGGGCGTGGGCGCTGTTATCTGGGCCAGACGACCCTTGGTGAGCTCACTTTTCTTGCCTTTGCTTAAATATTTTAAATCCAGTGCAGAATGATATATTTTCTGTTACACTGTTCAACGAGGGAGTTTAGAATATGATCAAATAAATCTACCTCTTTAGCTTTTCAGACCAATGCATGTGGAGAACCTGGAAATTATGCACAACTTCGAATTTGTTGAATTATCCCTTTAGCAAAGATAAACACTTATTTACTTTATTTTCTCTGCAGCTGTGACTGATGTGTACGAATGTGAGAAATAAATACATTTGTTTCTCCACCTGAAACACTGAGTTTTAAAAATATACTTAAATCACATATAATTTAAAAAAAATAAGTTCCACTTACTTCACTTTGTCGCTTTTCCTCTTCGAGTGTTCTGACCTGCTCTCTCGTGTCAAAGGCTGGCTGCAATGGACTGGGACGTCTGTACCTGGTGGGTTGTGGGTACAATGCCTATCCGGCAGGCTCAAAGTACGCTGAGTACCCGCAGATGGACACCAAACAGGAGGACAGACAAAGACGCAAATACAGATACATCGTCCACGCGGAGCAGAACGCCCTCACCTTCAGGTTTGGCCGAGTCCGTACACACAGATGACGGAGTCACGTTAAATTTTAAAAACTCATTCTCTGCGTTCTGATGCTTTCAGGACTCGGGACATCAGACCTGGGGAGGCCACCATGCTGTTTGTCACCAAGTGTCCATGTGACGAGTGCGTCCCTCTGATCAGAGGAGCCGGCATCACACACATCTACACCACTGACCAGGACAGGGACAAAGACAAAGGAGACATTTCCTACCTGAGGTTCAGCAGCCTGAAGGACGTCAGCAAGTTCACAGTGAGCTCACGGAGGGAGGGAAACAAAGTCAAATCAAATGAATTAATTTAAACTGTTCAATTCTGATTTCTACATTTATATCTCATGTACTTTAGCAAAGATTAGCCACCATCACTGCTGTGGTTTCTACAGGTGTCGTTAAGCATCAAGTTTTTAATCCATTGAACTTAACTCAGGTGACTTTCTTACAGCAGTAGAATATATATATATTCATTTATTCAGCTTTTTTACTGAAACATCCTTGAACTCAGCACTTGTTGGATGTGTAGCTGCTGCTGCATTCAAAGAAAAATAAAACTCACACTTCTCTGTCTCCACAGTGGCAGAGGAGCCCGTCACTTTGCTCAGCGTCCTCTCGTCACATTGCCAGTAAGTTCCACGAGGTTCGCACCGCTCATTAAAGAACGTTTTCATTTTCTTATCTTAATTTTCAAATTTCACTATTTTGAATATTTGTTCAACATTTACCAGTAACATGAATTTATTATAAATACTAAAATGTGATGAGGTGTGATGTATATATTTATTAATAATGGCTACAAACTAAAATATACGATCCACAAGTGGAAAAATAAAGGGATGCTCTGACTTTAACAGAGATTATTATGTCGTTGCAGACGGTTGTGTTGGGAAGCAAAGCAGGCAGACGGAGGGGGAGGGCCACAGCAACAAGAAGCTGTGCATCAACAGACCGCACAACTCGCCGTCTGTCAGCTGAGCATCACCTCCGGACACGTGGACGGACGGATGAACCGACCAGAAAGCCACAGAATCCTGTTTTTAGCTCATGTGCCACGGATCAGAACATGACATAGAGACAAGAAGAAGCTGCTGTGCTTAGGACACAATGGCCTCAATGGGAAATTGTTACAACAGAGGGATGGATGGATGAAAGAGGAGAAGGGGGTGAGGTTTTAAAATGCATGGGATGAGGGATGGAAATATGGGGACGACAAACAAACACATATTTTCAGAATGGTTATATAATACAACGTGTGTGTGTGTGTGTGTGTGTGTGTGTGTGTGTGTGTGGGTGTGTGGGTGTGTGTGAGAGAGACTCCTGTTGAAGAGGAATGAGGAATGTTAATTGATTTCTTTGATTTAATGTTTTGATTCAGTTTCTGCTCCGTTTACCTTTTCTTCTTTTGATACATTTCTATAACTTAAATTATGTCAGAAAATCTGAAATAAGACAGTATAGAGTGTCTCTCTGGTAAAAAAGTAACTACAGACATTTAAGGAAATAAACATTTAACTCTTAGAGTTAAAAGAGCACAAACACAATCTGCATTCCCATCCTTTTATTTGCTGAATGTGGTACAGTAGCATGTGTGGAAAAAAAAGTGGCTGCTTTCAGAGGACAGATAACGTGACAATTTGCTTGACCGTGCTTTTTTATTGTTTTAGCTGTAAAACTGGAAAAAAAACGAAGAGTTTAAGCCTGGTGTACAGCTGGTTGCTCTACGCATTATATTCAATGTCATATAAATACTGTCACAACTTTTAAACATCCAAAAATAGCTGGTATTGTATTTATTTTTCACCCAAAACAAAGAACAAGGATTTTTTTTTTTATGCCAAATGGGAAAAAAGAAAAATGGCACTTTACAAGTTCCTGATTGTTAGTCACCCTACACCTCTACTGCCTTTATTTCAGTTTGAAATTTACTAATAAACGTCCTAATTAAAAGACATATTTATTTATTCTTCATGATAATGCACATCAAATATTGATTAGGAAATAAATTCGAAATTTTACTTTACTTTTTTAGAAAATAAAAAAATGCACAGTAGCGTTTTAATCCTTGCTAATTTAGCTTCTTTTTTTTTTCTCCTTGAACAATATGTGGATTTTTCACAGTTACAGATCGACTCTGCAGCAAAAGATTTGCAGCTCAAACTTCACACATGTGGGCAAAACTTAAAAAGTGACTCCGCTCACTATGGCAACAGATCAGCTGTGAATAAACATGATTCTTGGACAGCGTAACTCAAACGTAGTGAGTTAAGAGGTTCACTGCTTAATCGCAACAAATATGTTCAACCCAGAGCATATTTTCCTTCACATGATTAAGCTCCCCCTGGAGAGATACAGGGAAAAAAAAAGAAACATAAATAGAAGGGAAACACACCAAAACAAAAAGGCACCTCTGAATCTTCTCGCCCGTTTCAACTTAAACACCAACATCTGATCCGAGAACACAAAGAAAACTAAAATCTTTACAGCTCCTCTCCTCCACACAGCAAAGTGCCTCCTCCGTGTTCACGCCCACAGTGACACTTGTGCAAACAATTGACTGTACATGACAAGAAACTAAACTATATATTTATATTTATATATATAAAAAATGCCATCAAGCAGTGTGATCAGCTCAAGATTAAGAAAAAAAAACAAACGGTTCATCAGGATCATCATATTATTTTTTCTTTATCATACAGAAAGTGCAACCAGCCACCAGCGAAGAGAACCAGTGATCCAAATGATTGAAGCTTGCTGTACCGATAGCCGCCCGACATCACCACCTTAAGAAGGCTCCTCGTTCAAATGCGCTTTACGATTAGTGTCTTTTCATCTGCGAGCTTCGGTCGACGGTGACTAAAAGCAACCGTCTGCGAACGCCTCGATTCTCAGTCGTGTTAAGTCAATTAGATTGGCACAGGCGAATTCTTCTAAAGCCGGGGAAGAATGATGTTTGACTCAATAGACACGTTCATCAGCAAATGTTAAACTCCGATTAAAGCTCTTAAACTGCAAATTGGGCAAATTTAAAGCTTAATTTAACTCCTGTAAAATATTTTGCACGCAAGCACCAAGTCCTGGTGACCTCGAGAAGCACTTCTCGCCGCTAAAATCTGCTTTTGTACTGCAGCGTCATCACCAATTAGCTGAAACATAAACTTTTGGAAGACTTTTTTAATTCCAGGGTTGTATTCCAGTCTGACGATGCTTTATAGTTTCAGAAAGAAAACTTTTTTAGGCAATCGTTGGATTCGGCAGGTCAATAAAGAGCTGTTTTACAGAGCAGAAGGTAACATCTTTAGCTCACGAAGCTTTGAGGGGTTACTGAGAATGTGTTCCACTCTGGGGACTTCTTGCCAGAAACGTTGACGCAGCTAAAATAAAAAAAAAAATTAAATAACAAAAGTAGAAATTCTTCATTATCCTTCTGATATGAAAGTACTTCATTTCAACGGTTTAGAGACGAACGCGGGTGCAGCGACTAGTGATTAAAAGAAAAAAAAACAAACACTCACACCTGCTTGTTCGTCAACCATTCTGTCCAAAGCTTTTTTGTAAACCGCTGGTTCTCCCAACAAAGCGAATCAGCTGCCTCTGACACCACAAGCTGTGGCACTACATGCTACAGATGAAAAAACAAAAACAAAGGATTAAAAATTAAAATCAGTGATTGAGAACTACTCCTGCACACGTTTTTAATGAACCAACAAAAAGAAAAAAGACGAATAACGTCTTGAAGATTTTTTTCTGTTTAAATAGAACAACCATTAATGTTAATGTGTTTTGTTTTCTAAGTCTTCCTATTGATAAAAAGTCGAGGGGCGAGGGGAAAGGAGGGGTGCTTCTCTAGGAGGCCGTCTTCTTCAGATCCCTGATCTGTTTGATTATGTACGTCTTCTCGTTGTTGAACAGCTCGTCGTCGGAACGGTCCTTCTGGAAGTTGCTCAGGAAGTCGATGAGCTTGGTCTGGTTCTTTAGCAGGATGTCGATGATGGGCTGCGTCTTGTTGGGATTGGCAACGAAAACCTGAGGGGAAACAAATAGGTGCGTTTCAAGGAATCCTGCTGCAAAGCTCTCGCCTACATTTATTTTACTAATACGTGTATTTCAGAGTATCCAGGCATGGACGCAGGCAGGAAAACTTGATTTGCCAACTTGACATTTAAAACACAAACTCTCTTTCATCAATTATTTTAGAATAGAAATGTGAGATTTTTACCTTAAACACGTGGAAGGCCTCAAACTGGATGTTGGAACTCTTGTCTCTGAGCAGATTCATCATCAGCTTAAGATTCTCCGGTTTGCTGATGTAGCGCGTCATCACCGTGAAGTTTTTTCTGTCCAACAACAGCTCACCCAGAAGCTGCAGGAGAGAATATTTCGAAACATGTGACTCGGGTAAAAAGTGGACATTTGGTTTGGATGGTGGTGCCAGGATCTAAACTGAGGGAATGACAGGCAGCAACAGTGTCAAAGATCGGAGATATGAGTCCAAACCTTTAGTGACTGCCTCTTGGTGACATAGTTCTCAGAGAGCAGAAGCTTCTCGTAATTTGCAAACACCTGCAATGACATAAGAAACACACCTTTAAACTTTAACAACCTGAAATCTGAGACCATTCAGCCTGTAGTTTAGAATTTCATGTCTCTCCTCCGAGAAAAAAGAAGCTTTTTTTAAACTTGAATGCTGACGTGTAGACAAAAAACATTAAATATAACAATGAGGAAATTCAGAGAGGTCACCCTCTTCTCCCACTTCCTCAACAAACTCAGGAAACAAACACCAGGCTTCTGTACTGTTTGTTTAATGACTTAAACTAAAACATTCATTTTCAATCACGAGGTAACTTTACCACTTATATTATTAGCTTCATATTATTGCTGAAGCTCTAACTAACTTGTGTAGCTCTACATTTACACGGGCAGGACACCAAAATCGAATCAGTGACTATTTTGGCACCGGCTCAACTTCACCGAGTCAGGGGCACCGTCTCCTGACAGGCAGCGACATCTGTCAACACGCCACATGTTCAGGTAAACAAGGGCACTTTTGTGTGAGGTTACTTAAGGCCGAGGCCTCCAAGGGGGCCCCTGCTTATGAAAGGGACCCCTCTACCTTGGGGAGGTGGACAACATAGAGCCAAGCGTTGTATCTGGAGACGTGGTGACACTGACAGGGGCCTTGCAAGGATTGATTTTTCCTGGAAATGTGAGTGTATTCGTCAAAACTTGAATCAAAGATGTCTGACGATGCATTCAATGAGACAAACCTTTAATGGATAGATGACTGGGCCATTGAGCACTGGAGGGACTTGTACCTTACACCATACAGGTAGTGTCCCAGTCAAGTGCTCATTTAATGTTCGTGGTTTATGCGTCCTCTGTGGCCGATGTTGCGTGACCAAAGAGGGAGGTGTGTGTGTGTGAGTGTGTGTTGCATGGATGTGTTTAGAGATGTTGGGAACATGTGATGAAATCGTTCGGGGACTTAGAAAAGTTCCAGCTGGTTGAGAAATAACATGGCAAACCTGCAGTAACATGTGTGACCGCGGTTACAGTCATGTGTTTTCCAGGCTGATCCTCTCTCGGTCAGAGCTAAGGCATTGGGAAACGTGTGTGTGTGTGTGTGTGTGTGTGTGTGTGTGTGTGTGTNTGTGTGTGTGTGTGTGTGTGTGTGTGTGTGTGTGTGTGTGTGACTCACAGCATCGTAGTTCTGTTCGAGGAAGTCAGCCACAAGCACTTTGTGTCTTGTCAGGAGATCCTGCAAATTAAGTTGAAAAAATAAGTCTATGGAAAAAAATTCAGGATTGACTTCATATCTGAAAGCAGCTTAACACAGAAACCTCGGAGTTACCTTGAAGGTGGCGAAGGCGTCGGAGGCAATGTCGAAGGGGGACATCTCCACGTAGGTGAAGAAACTGTGGAAATCCTCAGAGTGGAGGACGATCTTGGCGAGCGGCTCGTGGCGGATGCACTCCCGCAGCATGATCCCACAGTTCAGAGCTACCTGAGCCGTATCGTACCTTTGAGCAGACAGAGAGTGTTATCTCTTTGGGAAGCCATTTGATGGTGTAACGTGTGTGTAGGGCGCATTCTGTATGTCTCACCCTTTCAGCAGTGTAAAGAGGACCTCTTGATGGGAACAGAGGTATTCGACTGTGGGGCTCCTCGTCCCGATCTGCCTCCTCAGGATGTTGTTGAAGATCTGACACACATCCTTCTTCCTCTGGAAACAGACGCATAAACCTCTCGAATCAAATAGCAAATCTAGAGTGTTCATTTATGTTTTCCCTGTTATGTTTCTACGCAGCTTAATCATGAGAGAAGGAGCACTCGTGATGTTGCAGGCAGAAGGTTGTTGTGTTTAAGGAGCACAAAGTCACTTCTCTCCTCACCTCAAAGTCTATGACCTGCAGGTTCTCCACCAGCGAAATCAGCAGGCCGCTGTTGTACAGCTCCTGGGCGAGCTGGGCCACAGTCTCAGTGTGAGGCTCCTTGTCGTTGCTCCCACACAGGATCTCCTTCATGGACACCAAGCACTTGTTCACCTCCTCCGACGCCTGCAGGAACGAGAAGGTTAAATAGGGTTAATACGGTTCTTTCGTAGAAATGCAAATGCAAATATGGTCCAAAAACAAACACAACAGATTTTGTGTTTTTAAGGAGGAAGAAAAAAAACTGCAACTGACTTGAGCACGAGTTTGGCAAATTTTATCTGTGTGTGTCTGAGAGAGAGAGAGTAAATCGTCTTGACAGTTAAGTGTCAGGAGATGACAGGGCCAGGCTGTTCTATGCTCTCATTTCACAGAGGGCTGTCACCCCTGGACCCCCAGTCTACACAGTAGACACTCTGACACACACTTCTTCACTCTCTCACATTTTGACTTGTAACAGTGAAGAGAGCTCCAGGTGTTGCTGATGACACTAACTGCTCTGCCCAGTAATCAACAACATCATTTACCCCAGTGTTCCTCATGAAGTCACCTGATAAATAAACTGTTAAAAAACGATGCTGCTATAAACTATTTTAGGTGTTTTCTTTCTAATTTAGCAAAAGCTACAAATCTTTTGTATTGATCCATCTTGTTTACAGGGCATGTGTCATATGTATGTCAATGAAGCACACTGCTACACACACACAAGCTTGTCCTTCTCTACCTTGTCGGTCTTCCCTTTCTGTTTGATCAGGACGGCCAGGTTTTCCCTCAGGGTCTTGACGATTTCCGCCGGATTCTTGTGGGATTTACCGAACAGCGGCATGACGCAAACAAACTCGACTTAGGACCTGGGAAACGCACACAAGCAAAGACAGGGAAATACGAAAGAGCAGTTAATGACAAGCTTGATGCAATAAATAATGATCAGGATTAGTTTGATGTGAGAGGGTTGTGTCAGAGAAACTGCTTCCTACCAAAGAATACTGAAGCCTAAAAAGATGTCGATATTTGAGGAGTTTTTAAAAGAGAAGGCTCGAAACAATCGAAAGACATTTTACAGTTGAAAATTAGCAATGCAGAACAGAAAATATGAGTTAATAAAATCTCAAAAATATCAGCCCATCCCAGACAAACCTCCCCACCCTTGAACGAAACAAGCAGTAATTGACTTATCATGAAGAATTCCTGGAATGGATGGATTTTTAAACCTCTGCTCTCGTATGACGACTGAACAAAAGGCAGCACAGAGAGAGAGAAAGAGAGAGAGAGAGAGAGAGAGAGAGAGAGAGAAAAGAAGTACGAATATGACGCTTGTTTGTGTTTCAGGATTCCTCTAGCACCTTAGAGACACATTCCAAAGTCATCTCTCGTCTACGTGAGCGACAGCTGCCGCCCCTCCGTCACCGGGCCTCAGTTAATCAAAGTCATAGTCAAAGCATTAGATTGTTGAATAACAGCAGAGACAACAGAGGAGTCGGCCGGGACAGACTGTTACAGAAAACAAATCTAATTTCTTTTCAACTTTTACTGAAATCCATTCAGGAGTAAATTCTTCTCTCTGTAGCTTTTTAATTTCTACTAATTAAATATTATCAAATAGTCATATGGGCTCCATTTGTTGTGTTAATTGAGTTTTTGGTGTATTACATGATAAAGCTGGCTTCTTGGTTGTATTTTGCCCGGATAACGTAACGCCCGCCATGGACTGTTTGGGCAACAGAAGTCAGGAAGGCGCCAGAAGACATTTTCGGTTGCAGTCACATTATGGGTAAACTGGCAAATAACATCCTGACATGCCGAGCACCAGACAGGACTGTCAGCATTGCAGCGTAAGTGTTGTGCCATACATGTGTCGCTAACTCGTGCAGGACATGATGATAAAGGAAAAAGCACTTCTGCTGTGCACAACCAAGGGGTTGCAGGAAAACTAGAATATATGAAGTAAAAGAAAAGTACATGTACGTAAGGCGTGCACGCCGTGTACATGCAAATGTATGTGACCGAGTGAGAGCGTTCAAAGCCTTCTGGCCTTCCCAATCCAGGCAGGAGAACTTGTGACTGCTAATCCTCATCTGGGAACGTAACAAAAGAAAAAGTGGGATTATACCTCCCTCCCCTTTAACCCTACCTCCATCCACTCTGTGCTATTGGTTGAAGCAGGGGAGGATCCGGTGTGGGTCTCCCTTGTTTTTCTGAGTGTGATACTAAATCACTGGACACACCAACTGAAGGAGTGAATTCCCATCTGATCTTCAAGCTGTTGCTCGTTTTCTGAAAAGTTTCTGACCTTGACCGTGTGTGATTCGCTCTAAAACAACGCCCTCGGTTTGCCCGGGAGAGTCAGGGCACCTAAAGAGGCAATAACAGGAGAATTAAGAGCAGCGAGGAGCGGAGACACTCTAATTTCCCCCAATGAGACTGAAACAAAGTGGTCAACTCTGCAAGAATATCATTAACTTTAGATTTCATGACGTCCGCAGGCCATCACACAAGACAAGAAAACAAGCTGATCCTCTGAGGAGACTGAGAGTGTCAGTGTTTTCCCCAGAAGGAGGAAGAAATTGCAGTTTCCTCAACCTCGGGGATATACCAGGAAAATGTCTGAGAAAATAAAAGCAGGTGTGATTTTTATGGTAAAACAAATGAGAGAATGTCTCTCAGTAGAGTGCAAACCTTCGCCAAGGCCCATCCCCTTAAATACTACACCAAAAAAACTGTTTGTTTGGACTTAATTCTAAAAGTATTGAAAATACATAAAACTGTTGATTCCCTACAGAGGCCATGCTATCTCAGCTACACAATGGTGGTCGTTACAGGTTTCTAGTCCCTGATTTATCCCTGATTTTTATTGTCAAGGAAAAAAAAACCTCACAATGTTCAAGAAAGTGATGAAAAAGTCCCGGATGCAACACCTTGTCTGAATCTACGCAAAACTTCAATGGGTTCTTTCTCAGCCAATTTCCCATCCTTCCACCAAGCAGCGGTGAAAACATAATGTTGGAGGTTAACTCCAGCAAGAAAACATCTCGAATCACAAGACAGAAAACGTCAGCTGAGCGTGTTCGCTCACGACCTCTTGGTCTTGGGTGTAGAGGATGGATTTAAAAAGGTTTTAACGATGCTGCCTTCTGCTCAGCATTCTTCACAACAAGCCTGCGGTCTTGTGTTGTGGGGATGTTTTTCTGACAGGTCAGAGGGAAGACTGCTGATTCACATTGAGCTAATGAAATCACAAGGAGGGAGATGACTTATCCACACACGCACACGCGAACACGCACACACACCTTTATTCTGTCTTTAAGTAATACGAGAAAAGTGTGGAGGTGTGAGACTTCTAAAAAAACCCTGTAATTCAACAACAAGGCTCCTTCTGTTTCCCTTTATTATGACGTTACGACCACGAAACCTGATCCCAGTCAATATTTGTCTAAGGATAAAAAGGCAATGAGGAAGTCGGCCCTGCACTTGCACAACCTTTCCTGCTTTTTTTATCCCATCAATGTGCAGAATGCAGTTTCAGGTAATAACCAGCTACAGTTCTAAGATTTCAGATTATGATTAACAAATAATGTTCGCGACATAGATCGGTGCCTACGATCACAGTGACAAAGCGATTAAGGAGTTTTTTTTAATCACCTAAATTTTCACAATCAACATTTGCTACTTTTGCCTGAAAAATGATTTAATTTCCGTCCGCTGACTGAAATGCATCTATAAACACCACCACTCATATCACCTCCACAAAAGGTTATCACCCGCCTCACTATCAGCACTTTGCCAGCAGATTGTCCGCAGAGCGTGGATGTTACAAAGTCTGATTACATATTTCCAGCTGTGAGCACGCTCCTCCTGGATTATCTGTGACCTTTCACTGCGACATATGGGCTCAATGTCAAAGCAGAAATATAGAATATCCTTCACTTCCATCTGGAGGAGACCTGTGCTGAACACGCACTCAGCATGAATAATTCAAGTCGCCCCCAAGGTCCTGCCAATATATTCGCTCGAGCAATCGTGAGTCAGTCTCAGCTATCAATCATGACGTTTCATTTAATTTCAATAGCATCAAAGAACAAATTAAAAACCAACTTGAATCAACAGTTCCCGATGGGCTCGATCAGGTATCCTCATTTTGGTTTGGTCTCATCTGCTAACATGGAGGAGGCAGAGTTTATGACCTCTACTGCAGCTTCACTCTTCGGGAGCCGTGACTGCACAGTGGTGATGACTACTAAATGTGTAACATGGTGATCAATGACAGTAGACAAAGAGCTAACATAGCAAGATAGTGATGTGTCACACCTACATGCCGCTCAGCCTGCCAGTAGTAGTGACTACAATTTCGGCATCTCATAGCTTGTGTTTAAAGCAGGTGCCACTTTGGCCCGCAGCTCGTCTTGTCGTGCACTTGACTCTGCATTAAAAATAAATGCACTTACGCACACTCTGCAAACCATGACTAAGATATATCCTGCATCAGGTAAAATGTCAAAAGAAGTCAAAGATGGCGGCCTCTGATTTGACGGTACTTCTTCTCGGCCAGCAGGAATGCAGAGGCAGCCTTTCATTATGCACAGTAACACATAGAACTGGAATTGAAGTATTTAAGGAGGAGCCAGGAGGGTATTTACCACTCAAACACTCCCTCTGTCTCTCAGTGTAAATGATTACAACACAACATACCAGGGTTTATACTTTGAAATCTCAGTAACCAAACTCAAAACAATCAGAAGCTTTTTAAGTCCTGATCTCAGATTGGTCGTCATGTTTATGCTGCAGTGTCACCACCCAGACAGAGAAACGACAATCTGAGTTAATGAGCTGATGATTCAGCATCACAGCCTGATACCTGCCTGTTTTTGATGCAGAAAGAGGATCCGGTTATGACTCTGTGATTTTGGTTGCTGTATTTCCGGAGGTTTTAGGGCCTCTGCTAAGTCAGACAACAGGTTTGTCTTCTTCTGTATAGCATTATGTCAGACACAAATTCCAACCACACTTTTGACTTAACCTATTTGATTTGTAGAACAAGTACAGAGGACTACATTTCTTGAAATGATATAATGATAAACAAGAATATGGCAAAACCACAAATGGTCAAGGTAATTTATTCCTGCTGGTCATATATTCAATAAGTGTATTACTACCGCAAAACTCCGTAATATGGTTGATTGTCTGTATTTATATATATATATATATATTATATTGTCTACAAGTCAAGGTACAGGGATGTACACAGAAAACAGGATGTAAGGTGGTGTGGCATTCAGAATAAAAGAAGAGTAGATTTAGGATATTTTAAACACTAGAATCCTGAAATACTGCAATCATTAAGCTGTTGCCAACTAATAGATTGAATAATATGTTGAATTATAATCCTACATTGCAGATGTAGTGAAGAAAATATAATTTCCCTTAAGAATGTCCAGGAAAACCTCTGATACAGCATGGAAATGTTTACAATCAAATTAATAATGAAACCTACACATTTACAAGCAATCTTTTACTATGCACTTGATATATGTGGCTTTGCACAAAGTTTTATTTTCAATATTGAGTATTATTATTAGAATTATTTGATGTAGAAAATGTCAGAAGACAGTGAAAGATGGTCATCACATCAAAAGGATTTCACATTTAAATATACGTCTGTCACAAGCTAAAACGAAATTATTTGATTGATTGTTGTTGGCAACTAATGAGTCTGGGATTCAAGTCATTGCTTTTCATGCAAAGACTTTTTAAAGCTCTTTTATTTGCACATTTATGACCGGAAATGGTTTGGTCTTCATGATGGGAGTCTGGTGGTGGTCGTCACAGAGACATGGGGAGAGAACAAAACAAAAACACAACACACACACACACACTGTATCTATGTGCAACTGAGGAGTTAAAGAGCCAAAATGGAGGATGGTGTGTACAGGAATGGTTGCTGGTAACGCAGGCGGCATTTAACAGCGACACAAAGCCGCGTAAACAGCCCCAGACAGCGGGGTTTAACCAGGCTACACCCCTCTCTCGCCTCCGGGCTCAGCTCCCTTGTTGTCGGACGGATTTCCGAAGCTAACCGCGGCTGAGTGCGTCGCTTCGTGGAGATAAACGTGGAGGTGTCGGGCAGCAGCGCAAACACAAACCCAGGGGAAGTGACCGGAGGCTGTCAGGGGGCAGAGGGAGCGGTACTCACGGGGGGGAGGCTGTTCGCTCGGGGGGGGCGTCCGTCAACCGTCTTCCACTCGCTTCCAGGCGGCAGCGCAGCCGAGGCTCCCGGGGCGAAATGCAGGCTTCGGCCGTCACGCCAGGGCCGTTGGCCGAGCAGGGAGGGGGTAAACCCGGCGTGAGTCAAGTGAAGCTGCCGGGGGAACCTGCGGAGGAGCCGGTCGTAGACGCGAGAACAAATAGTCCCAGTTGCGCGTTAATCACGGGAGATATTCGTCTTATTGACTCGACTGCTGTCACACGCTCGCTCCGCAGCGAACATCGCGTCACTTCCGGCTGCGGCGCGACACACCCATGCCAGCTTGACGCATCAGTATCTTTCCAGAGTCTCGTTCGCATCCGCTCACTTTAAACCTTCGTCACCGCCTTTCCCTCAGCTCTTAATTCAATGAAATCACATTAAAATAAGCACAGATGTGTTTTATTTAAACATATTTAAAATCTCTGTTCTCACAAATACACAGTTCACCGATTTTTAC